CGGGGTGTACCGGAGCTCAGCATTCTAAAGGGTCTTGCTCACATAGTAGACGGGACGCTGAACGCCTTCCTCCTCGCGAACCAGCACGGAACTGATTGCGTGATAGGCACTAGTTGTTAGTGCCTAAGTGTACATTTTTATTATCATTTGTAATATTTATTTACTAGAATTATGCAAGTTTGTAGTTGTTAGTTTGCATTTGATTGTGATCGTATTTTTAGCATTTTATTGTTTGTTGTAAGTTGTAGTTAGTTGAGCTATAAGTTTAGGATAGGATTGGATGCAAGAAGGATGGAAAAACCTGAGCTTTATGCAAAACCCGGTCGGGTATAGACTTTACCCGGCCGGGTATGAAGTGACAAAGGAAACTGCTGCAAAACTAGCAAATACCCGGTCGGGTATTTCATATACCCGGTCGGGTATGAAGTGATTTCGGATCAAAGAACGTGCAGAAGACACAAAAACATGGGAAAATATTTGATTTGGTAAATATCCAGTCGGGTATGTCAAAATACCCGGCCGGGTATCCGGCTATAGGTCTTGAAAACACCTGTAAATAACCCCATTTTCCTTCACTTTTAATCATCCCTTCTTCCATACTCTTAAGCTCAGTTTAGAATAGCATTTCTTTATATTTTTCTAGCTATGTTTAGTCTCCAAATGAGGAGCTAAACTTCCATTCTTGGTGTTGCTCTTGAAGCTTGTTGATTATTAAAGTTGTGAGTTATTTTCTTAATTTCTTTCCTTGAATATTAATTAATATTTCTTTCCTTAATACCATCTCTATAATAGTGTTGGGGAGTGTTGCTAAGATGACAATTAGTTAACATCTCGACATTAGTTAGAATGGTATTTTCTTCCTCTATACTAATGTTGGGGAGTGTTGCTAAGATGACAATTAGTTAACATCTTGATATTAATTATAGTAGGATTCATCTTCTTTAATAATATTCTTCCTTGAATATTAATTAATTCCTACTCATATTTCATATTAATATTTTGAACATTGCTTAAAGGATCAACTAGTTTTGTTTCATATATTAATTACTACTAGAAACGATCAACGAACCGATGGTTAATCGTTGGTGGTTTCACAAGTAAGTAACTTCGATTTATTAATGCACGGTCGTGGTTAATAAACTTAAGAGGGATCAATTTTGTTGGTTAAACCGAGACCGTTGTGTTGAGGTTATCAATCTCAATTGATTTCATCAAGGAGTTAAAAGATTGAATGCTACTATTATATCGGTATATGGCGTTCTTCTATATTTGATTAATAGCAAGGGTTGTTAATGAACGGTCATTGTTAATAACTACCCTCGATGAAGTGGATATACTCCCCGATTGAGTATTCGAGAGGGAATAAGTTATAGATAAAACAATGATCGACTAAAATATATCAACAAGTGGAAAGTAGCAATGACAAGTCCTTTTTATCTTTGAATTAAACACATATAGGTTGTTCATCTTAGTTTTCAATTAAATTAAATCACTCAATCCAAATCCCCCTTTTATTTACTAAGTATCATAAAAAGAGAATTATTCTTTTCCCTGTGGATACGAACTCTACTACGCTATACTACGTATAAGTGTTAGTATTGAAAATTATTTTGACGCACCGTGACAAAGTGCTCGTCAAATTTGGCGCCGTTGCCGGGGAAAGACAATTATTTTTCTTTTTATTTTATTTCAAGAAAAATCAAAAATAATATATAAAAGATTTCTATTTTGCTGAGCTTTGTTTGAGTATATGGTTAAACACCGATCTATAAACCATATCACCTACCAAACAAAGCCCGAGACAGAACAAGCCTTCGAGAGGTTTAGGAATTTATTTCCGAATACTTCTTCGGAGGAATCATCAAGTGCTAGTTCTCATTCTAGCGACACCGAAGAGCCAATCAATATGGCTCTTGAAACAAGAACGTTGAGGGAGCTCACGGCTCCGAATCTAAATCAACAACCCTTATGTATCACTTTTCCAACTCTTGATACGGGGGTCACATTCGAGCTAAAATCTGGGCCCATTCATCTACTTCCCTCTTTCCATGGCCTACGAGGGGAAGATCCAAATAAACACTTGTCAGAGTTCCATATTGTGTGCACAAGCATGTGCCCCAATGGCGTGTCTGAGGAGCAAATCAAGCTGAGAGCCTTCCCATTTTCCCTCAAAGACACCGCCAAAGATTGGCTATTCTATCTTCCCTCGGGGAGCATCAATACATGGGCTCAAATGAAAAAGAGCTTCCTTGACAGGTACTATCCCGCATCTATCTCTTCAAGTCTCAAGAAGCAAATCAGCAACATTGAGCAAGCAGATAATGAGACCTTGTATGAATATTGGGAGTGCTTTAAAAAATTATGTGCTAGTTGCCCATATCATGGGTATTCAGAACAAGATCTCATCCTCTACTTCTATGATGGACTTGTTGATCAAGATAGACGCATGGTGAATGCGGCATGCGGAGGGGGTATTGCTAACAAAACCCCTTCTCAAACAAAATGGTTTCGTCTGGAATGATGAGTGTCAGCGAGCCTTCGACGACCTGAAGAAGTACCTCCTCTCTGAGCCTTTACTCAGCAAACCGGAGAGGGGGGAGACGTTAATCCTTTATCTTGGGGTTTCCCAAGGCGCAATGACGAGCACTTTGTCACGGTGCGTCAAAATAATTTTCAATACTAACATTTATACGTAGTATAGCGTAGTAGAGTTCGTATCCACAGGGAAAGGAATAATTCTCTTTTTATGATACTTAGTAAATAAAGGGGGGATTTGGATTGAGTGATTTAATTTAATTGAAAACTAAGATGAACAACCTATATGCGTTTAATTCAAAGATAAAAAGGACTTGGCATTGCTACATTCCACTTGTTGATATATTTTAGTCGATCATTGTTATATCTATAACTTATTCCCTCTCGAATACTCAATCGGGGAGTATATCCACTTGTGGCAGGAAGAAGGGTAGGGACTTCTCGGTGGACTTGGACATGAAGCGTCCAAGGGCTGCTAGCCGGCCGGTGAGAATCTGGACTTCTTTCACCGACCTCGGGGGGTTCCATGTCAAGTATTGCCCTTACCTTCTCGAGATTTGGCTCGATCCCCCTCCGTGTGACCATGTACCCCAGGAACTTGCCTCCTTGGACGGCAAAGGTACATTTCTTCGGGTTCAGGCGCAGACGGACTGCCTTCATGATCCCGAAGATCTCTGCCAAATCATCTGCATGATCGGACGCCCGGGTGCTCTTGACGATCATGTCGTCAACATACGCCTCCATGTTCCTTCCGAGCACCTTCCGGAATACCTTGGTCACCATCCTCGTGTACGTCGCCCCAGAGTTCTTCAGCCCTAAGGCCATGACAAGATAACAAAAAATCCCCTCTGGGGTGACGAACGAGGTCTTCTCCGCATCGTCTTCATGCATGAAAATTTGATGGTATCCTCGAAAAGCGTCCATGAAGTTAAGGAGCTCACATTCGACCGTCCCATCGACTAGTTGGTCGATGTTAGTCAATGGGAATGGATCCATCGGACATGCCTTGTTGAGATCGGTGTAATCAACACACATCCTCCAGGTTGGCGGCTTCGGGGCCAGGACCACGTTTGCCAACCAGACCGGGTACAAGACCTCCCGGATATGCTTGATACTCAGGAGCATGTTGACCTCTTCTTCACGAATTCCCTCCTCTCGGTTGAGAGGTGTCTTCTTTTCTGCTGGACGGGCTTCGCCGTTGGATCGACCGCCAGCCGATGGACAGCGATGCTTCGGTCAAGGCCAGGCATGTCCTCCGGTCCCCACGCGAAGACAACGCTAAAAAGGACAAGTACCTGGATAATCTTCTCCCTCAAGCCGGCCGGGAGCCCGGTCCTGATCTTGACCTTCCGCTCCGGCCTCTCGGGGTCAATCTGGATCTCCTCCACTTCTGAGGTGGGTTCAGCGCGGAGCTGACCCTCCTCATACTTCATGGCTTTGTTGTTAATAGTGTGGACCCTCAAGTCTTTTTGACCGATTTGTTTCCAAGCTTTCAGATAGCAGCTCCTCGCCATTCGCTGATCTCCCCTGGCAACTCCGATGATGATCTTATGTGCACAAGTTAGGCGTACGATGATAAACTCGACGTCTAACTTGGATACGCAGGGCTCGGAGCCCACCATCACGGGGAGGACTATGCTGCCCTCCGACTCAATGGAGTCCCCGGTGAAGCCCGAGAGTGGGGTTCTCACCGGGATCAAGTCTTTTCGGTCCAGCCCGAGACCTTGGAAGGTGTCATAGTACATGATGTTAACGGAGCTCCCATTGTCCACCAGGACTCGGTGGACGATCGTGTTGTTGGTTTCGACCTTGATGACCAAGGCATCCCTGTGCGGCGGAGGCATCGGTGGCAAATCTGCGTCGGTGAAGAAGATGGGGTCCCTCTTCACCCTCTTGTCGGCGGGAGCCCTGGTTATCTCCCCGACGTATAGGGCTCGGGCCCACTGCTTCCGCTCTCCATAGGTGTTGCCTCCCTGGAGTCCCCTGAATATGAATGAACATCGATGGTACTTCCGGGGGCCGTTCCCTAGGTCGGCATCGTCTTCCTCGGAGAAGGCGCCGAGTTCTCGCTTCTTGGCAGGCGGTGTCTCCTTTGACGTGGTAGCTTGGTCGGCCCGCTGCCACGTCAGGCTCCTCTTCTGCGGGATGCCTCCTTGTTTGCCAATGAATTGGCCCAGGTACCCTTTCTGGATGAGCTCTTCAATTTGCCGTCGGAGAATGACGCAATCATCTGTATCATGCCCAGCTCTCCGATGGAATCGACAATATTGGTCGAGACGAGGTTCCGGCCATCTTCCTATATGATTCCTACTCAAGTGATGTGAGAAATCTATAGAGGCTCTCAATGAAAAGCACCAATGTTGGTCCAAAATAGGACGCTCGTAGGCTTTTAGGAAAGCTACGTAAGAACACTCAAGCAGGAATTAGGAAAGTACGAATATGGAAAGTTGCCAAGGGATTTAGTTGCCAGAAATAGCATATCTCATTTGAAATTCGGACTTGCCTTTTATAGGCGATTACAAATGGTAACTGCCAGAGACACTAATGACTAATTAATTACAACATTAATACAGAATTAAACACATAATTAATAGCGCATTGATTGTTGGCCGTTACTCTTCCTGGCTGGCAGGTCAGTCTGGCTGGCAGGCTGGACGCTTGAGCTCCCTCCTGCTAGACTGGACAGTGGGCTTCCCGCTAGGCTGGAGGAAGGTTTCTGACCGGGCTGGAGGCAGGCTCCCGGGTAGGCTGGAAGGCAGGCTCCCCGTTGGGCCGGAGGCAGGCTCCCACCTGGGTTGGACCGCAGACTCCCAACTGGGCTGGTGGTCGGCAGGCTCCTGGCTAAGCTGGAAGGCAGGCTCCCCGCTGGGCTGGTCGACAGGCTCTCTTGGGCTTCCGCTCCTTCATTGCCCTGATTGGTTGGGCCGACTCGAGCTCTGGGTTACTGGGCTTGGACCTGCTGGTCCAAGTTCAGGGCCTGGGCCGATTAGGCTCTGGGCCTAGTCCCATAACCCCATCAATATGAAACCTTAAAGCTAATAGATTAATAATAAAAATAGAAAAAAGATGATATTGTCTCAATTGAGCGTGTTATAAAATCTATATTATATAATCTCAAAGTTGTTTTACTTTAGATGGTTGTAAAAATCTCTTCTTAATATATATAATCAAGCATATAAATCATTTTCGATAGTTACAGACTGCTTCATTCATCCGTTCATCTTTCATCCTATTTCGCAAATCTATCTGTCTTCATAATTTTTTCGTAGAAGAGAAATTTTTCTCTACTAAAAGTGTTGTAATGGTAAAATCAATGCTAACTAAATAAGGTAGTATACCATTGAAAACTAGTGTTCACTACTATTTTAGTCCAATAGTTTCTAAATCTATTCATTTAAATGTCTTTTTATCCTTAATTTATACTTTTATACTAATAACTATGTACCGAGTATACGATATGCTATGTATGTTTAGTACCCTACTTCATAAATGCAATGTCACATACACGGCAAAGCTATATAGCAATTTACTAATCTTAACATGCTTAAGAATATAAATCTGAAATTTGAAATTAGACATACAATTATTGAAGTATAGGCATGTATAGTGTACAAAATAAAAGATTAAAAGTAAACCTGCTACTCACGGGCCTCACGAGAGCTAGCACAACTTCACCGAAGGCGCAGCAAGCCATCAGCCTTACAAATTCTTCAACTTTTTAGTCTTTCCGCAACAACAGCAAGAATCTGCGGAATTTCAAAGCATTAGCCATCCAAATATCCAAATATCTAATTATCAAACACTTTGCATGCATAAATAAGCAAGACTATTGTGACTAATGCAGAAATGAAAAAAAAAATATTATATGCAATGAATCAAACTGGAGTACAACATAACTTTAGCAAATAGCTACCTCATACAACTAGTTGGGGTATTCTCGCTCATATATGGGGAATTCTCTCTACTTCAATTTAGGAAATAACTACAAACTTGAGATGGGTTCCTTCTGAAGTTTAGCCTTTTTTAGCAAGAAATTTTTTATTAATAGAATACTGGCTAAAAAAATACGTCCGCTAATGAAGGTAGCAATCTAAAGAAACAACCTAGGGAAAACATAAGAGAAGCTTACGGTTTTTTTCATACCTAGTGAAAGTCCAAGAGATTTCAGATTGAATTTGACATAAGCCATTGAACCCCATCCCCATCTAATGAAATAGAGCAATTTTGTTTGTCGTTGAATTGACTAATTCGTAAAAGTGAGGACTCCACCTGAAATATAAAAATTTTGCTTTCAATTCTTATAGTTCCATATTGCTCTGTTAACGCTTCCTTAAATCGATCTGAATGTGCCCTTCGCCATTGATATGCCTCCACTCGAGCATCCGCTGCTGTTTGCCTCGACAACGGTGATCCCTACGATTTGATGTCGGTCCAATTGGCCACGGAAGCACCAGAATAATTGCCGCAATTGCTGCACTTGGCCTCTGAAGTACCTGCAATTTGGTGTTGTCTCTGCTGGCAAGAGTAGCATCTAAAGGACCCACGACCAGAGAAACGACCTCTCTGTCAGAGCTCATTGCCGCCGCTCCACCAATAGCTACGTCGTCGAGAGGACTTGCTGCTTCTCCACCGATCATCCAAGCATTGAGATGTAGTCCGGCCACCACTCGAATGGAACCCTAACCTGCTCGCATCCGTATGTTCTGCTCTGCAGTCAGGTCTCCATCTTGAAATTGGTGTTGATGGATATTTCACTGGATGGAAATCGCATGAAGGCATGCCCTGAAATCAGCGCAGATAGTGTCTATCGGAAACTCCCTCAAACCTCCCTGGTCATTGGTCGTCCCCCGTCGCTGCTCTGTTGAATTTGTTTGGCTAGGTTTGACATCCTCCTAAACAAATAGACGCGAGTTTGAGAAGAAAGGGCGGATTGGTTTCGCCCCTTTTCTAAATGGGTTTTAAAAGATGTCAACACAAATTTTGTTAATCAAAAACATGACCCCGTTTTTTCTTTGACATCGGTTGTACATACAACTGATGTAAAATATTGAATAAAATTCTAAAATATACCATGTTTCACTATTTAATATCGGGTATAACAACAACACATGTGAAACAGATTATAAAAATTATAAAAATGACCACGTGTCAATATTTCACATGGGTTATACAATAACACATGTGGATAAGGTGATGTAAAAAACCTTTTTTGTACTAGTGTACTAACAATTTCCCCCTTTTTGATGATGCCAAAACTATACAACACAAAAGTAAAATATTTTTATTGATTTTTCATATGAGTTTTGTACATTGTTCTAGCTTCTAAGGTACAATAGTTTATAGTCAATTTCGGACTTCATCTATTCTAGTCTTCTCCCTCTTTTGGTTTCTTCTTGGATTCTTCCTTAGTCTTGGCTTCTTGAGCTTTCCTCTTTCTGATTTTCATTTCTTCTTGTAGCCGCTTATTCTTCTTTCTGGTTTCAGCTGCTTTCTTAGCTGCTATGGACCTTATAGATGAGGTGTCTGCTTGTGCTATCCTTTCCCCCTTTTTGGCATCAGCAGGGGTCTCACTTTCTCTGAAGAGTGCTTCTATCTCCGGGTCAGAGTCAACCTCAACTTGTCTTCTCCATGTTGGACGCATGTCAGCAACTTCAATTGCAACGGCATTGAGCATATTGTGAACGTCCGTGACATCTACTTGGACATCTTCTTTGACCAATCTATCCAGGTTTTGAAGACTATGATTAGTGGTTAGTATATGTTGGCCAAGTGCTTGAAGTTCTCCTCCTTGTTTTAAGAATGCCTCTTGAGTGGCAGTGTGCATTCTGGTTAGGTGTTTGGCAACATCATCCCTTGTTTTTGCAATGGCCTCAGAATGTTCTACTTCTTTTGTGACCACCTTCTGGGAGAGCTGAAGAAAGGCTGGAATCTCTTTGGTCTTTAGATGTTGGATGAATGCATCATGCTCCTGGATGAGTGGAATGGCCTGCTCAAGGTTAGCGGATAAAGTAGGATTAAGAAGTACCTGGGCAGAGGGCTCTGGTTCTGGTTGGGCAGAGGGCTCTGCTTCAGGTTGTGAGGGCACTGCTACAGCTTGTGCTTGCTGGTGATTGAGAAATTGCTCTTGTAGTTGCATGCATACATCTTTAAGTTCCTCAAGAGCCTTCTGGATAGCCTCTGATTGAGCTAGCTGATTTTTGATTTGTATTTGAAGTTGAGCCTTTTGCTCAGAATTGAACACCTGTTGAATCTTTAGATTGCTTCTGATATGCCTGTGAACTTCTTCGAAGCGCAGATCCAAGAGTTGATCAAAGTGGTTCTTCATTTTGATCAACCTTTTGTGTAGCCTTAATTCTGATCTGCTCACAAATTTGATGGTGGTCTTCCTTTCATGTATAAACACCTCAGCTAGTGTTGGAGTGTCCTTTGCTCCCTCATTGAAGATCTTCTCCCGAATCACAGCTGAAGTTGTAGATTGATGCTCATTGGCATTTTCTTGTTGAGGCTCTTGGTTGAGGTCCAGCAGTTGGGTCCCTTGTGGGAGAGTAGCAGCCAACTGCTCTTAGGGAGCTTTGGAGGATTCTCCTCCTCCATGAGTTTCCAGCCTGGATTTTTCCATAACCCTCCTAGTTTCTTTGTCACTAGAGGAGGAGGAGTAAACAATTTGTTTACCTTTGGAGCTTGGTGGACCCTTAGGTGCATTGTCATCGTCATCATCACCCAGATCATCATCACTGGAGTCCTTAATGGTGTCTTTTGCAGTTAGCTCCTTCCTTTTTGCTGTGTAGACCTGGTTGATCTTGTAGAGAGTGGTTGCTACAGCCAGATCCTCAGTGCCAATCCATTCTAGAGCAAAGTCTTCTTCGATGATGAAATATGGAAGGGTCTCTGCTTGATCTCTGATTTTTGTTAACTTCCACTTTCTCCACTGCTTGACTCTGGCGAAATCTGCCTCTAGTTGCTCTAGTGGAGTCATTCTGGTGAGTCCACTGCCGGGGATGGAGGAGCTTGATCGTTGAAGGGATCCACCTGCTCCGTTTGTTGAGTCCCCTGCTTCTCTAGGTGAGCCGCCTGATCTGGTTCTTGGGGAGCCACCTACTCCTCTTGTTGATCCCTTTGTGTGATTTTGGGAATGAATATAGAGAGAGGAATTTGAGAATCATTACTTGCGTTTGAGGAGGCAGCAGAGGCCTCTGCTTCTTCTTCTTGAATGATGGCCAGGGGTGAGGCCACTACTTCTTCATTAATGATGGCGAGATGGGTGACCACTGCTTCTTCATTGATCAAGGCAAGAAGGGAGGCCACTGCTTCTTCTTGACTTGGGTGAAAAGATGATGCAGCTTCTTCCATTTCGGCTTGTAGATTTCTTGTTGCTGTCCTTGGCTTCTTTGATTTTTCTGCTTGGCATCCTGATCTGATTCTCTTGGAGTCTTTGTTTTGATCCTGTCAAGGGTAATTTGGAGAGGCTCGTTGGAGATGAAGGAGTCCTCTACTTTTTGAACTTGTGGGGCCCCTACCTTGGAAGTTTGATAGAGAAACTTCCTCCAAGTTGTTTCTTCTTTAATGGACCCCATTATTCCTTTCTTCTTGAGCAGTTTCCCTATCAAGAAGTCGTATCCTAGTAGTGGTAGAGTACCATCTTGTCCTCTTCCTGTATGAGTTTTCTTTACGTAATTTAGAAGCTCGTTGTAGACATACCTTGACCAGTTGAAAGGGATTGTAACACTTGAGATTTAATTTAAACGGATTAATAGTACTACTCATACCAACAAGGTGCATCCCCTGAGATGATTGCCGTCAGTGGCTTGGCTCTTTGGGCATTGACTTCGTCCAGGGTTGTAGTTCTTGTGTCGACACATTTCTAGAGAATATCCAGGAGGATGGCGTATTCTGGAACCATCAACTTCTTTTTTACTTTCAACGTGTTAAGGTGTTGAGCCCCTTGGATGAAAACCTTTTCTTTGAAGTTCTCTTCATTCAAGTTGATATCCTTTACAGTTGGAGCCTCATCTCCAGGTAGGGAGAGCAGTTCCCTAATGTCTTCTTCCATTATCTCTACCTCAAACCCCATTACAACGGATTTGAGAGTCTCAGGAGTGGAGTTGATGTAGAACTCTGCCACTACCTCGGGGTAGAAGCAAGAATATGGGTAGGTTGACATTTTTAGTAGTCTCGTGGTCTCAAGTTTTCTCAGCAGTTCCCTCATTAGATCTTTGTTATCAGCTCTTTCAAGGACTTTAGGAGTGTTGAGGATGGATCCAGTGAAGATGGACTTAGCTATTTGGATGAGTGAGGCCATTTCTGTGTATATGGCGGACAGAAAGGATACCAAGAAGGATTTGTGGTGGTAGTGTATAAGAGAGCCTTTGAGAATGCGAAGAGAGATTTTGAGAGTTTAGAATAGGTAGAAAGAGATTGCAAAGTGAAAAGTGTGAAGGAGAATGTACGGAGGGAGTATTTATAGGCTATCGGGAACTAGCCGTTGGAGAATACGGTTGGCCTTTTCAGCATTAACTGTGTTCACACTGGTAGCAGGGGGCTCAATTTTGGGTAAAATTTTAAAGGTTTCTGAGAACAAGAGTTGGCTTTTTGGAATCCTTGATATTAGGGGATCAAGATGATGTATGTCACTAGTTGAGATTCCATGTACATTTTTCAGAAATTGAGCCAACAGCTAGCCTGAAGCAGTGCCCTGCTCCTGAGGCAGTCACCTGCTGGAAGTCACCTGCGCGAAATCTTGAACCAGCGCTTTTACCTCCATTTGCCTTCCTTCTCTTTCTAGTCCTTTTCCTCCTTTTTGAGAAAGTGTGCATTTCCTTCCATTATACAACTAGCAGTGGGCTAGTAGCCAGTCGCCTGCTGAGCCCACTGATTGCTAGGATGCAGTCAACTGCTGAGCCAATTTTGTAAATTTTGACTCCTTTTGATCTTGATATATTGATAGTGACTTATTTGGACATTGATGCTTCATTCCTTTGATGTTTTGAGTAGCTTACCTTTAGCAGGTGGCTACTCCTGAGTACTTCACAGAAATTCCCCCTCAGCAGGTGGCTAGGAATTCCCCCTTAATTTTAGAATCAAATTCCCCCTGAGTTGATGCAAGATTATTCCTTCACTTGATCTAGATCATCTAACATTCCAAGCTCTTGCCTTAGTTGATTGAATCTAGCTTCATTCAATGGCTTGGTGAAGATTTCTGTCAACTATTTTTCGGTGGGGATGTACTCAAGCTTGATGGTTTTCTTCTCAACATGCTCTCTGATAAAGTGATGTCTGATCTCAATATGCTTGGTTCTTGAATGAAATACCGGATTATGAGTGATAGCAATAGCACTAGTGTTATCACACAGTATGCTAATCTCCTTTGTTTCTTCTCCATAATCCCTCAATTGCTGTTTCATCCATAGTATTTATGCACAGCAGCTGCCTGCATCTATGTATTCAGCTTCAGCAGTGCTAGTAGCAATTGAGTTTTGTTTCTTGCTGAACCACGAGACAAGTCTTCCACCAATTAATTTACAAGTACCTGAGGTACTTTTTCTATCAATTTTGCATCCGACAAAGTCTGAGTCTGAGTAGCCATAGAGTTCAAAACCTCCATTTGTTGGGTACCATAATCCAGAGTTAGGATTACTTTTTAGATACCTCAAAATCTTCTTTGCAGCTAGAAGATGGCTTTCCTTAGGTTTTGATTGAAATCTTGCAAATAAACCAACTGAGTATGATATGTCTGGCCTACTAGTGGTGAGATATAATAAGGAACCAATCAAACCTCTATAAAGTGTAGGATCAACATCCTTGCCATCTTCATCTTGACTAAGACCTTGTGATGTGTTCATGGGTATCTTGACTGTAGACTTGTTCTCAATTTTGAACTTTTTCATGAGATCTTTTGTATA